TTAACTTTTATCTGGCATATTGAAATGAGTATAGGTCAGTCTGGATCTGACCTACAAAATGCAGGGGTTGGAGATGGAGCTGGATCATGTTGAAGGAGGGTGTGTACGGCTCACGCCTGTAATCTTAGCTACTCAGGAAGCTGAGATTTGAGGATCATGGTTTGAAGCCAGCTGGTGCAAAAAAAAAATCCTTGTGAGACTCTCATCTCAAATTATCCACTCAAAAAACTGGTAGTGGGGTTTGGCTCAATGTGGTAGAGCACTAGCCTTGAGCTCCTGGACAGAACCAAGGCCCTGAGTTCAAGCCCCATGACTAACAACAACAAAAACATGTTTAATTAAGAGGGTGTAGTGGATCAAAATTATTTGTTTCATGGTAGATTAGAAGCAGAGATGGACGGTTAGGACAAGGAATTAGGTAATTAGGTGTGTCTTTCCAGGATATGCCCAGCAACCTAATTCCTCCAGGTAGGCCCCACTCCCAATAATCCATCAAGAGATCCATCCATTGATTAGATCAGAGCCATCAGTTCTCACTGGGAGGCTTTTCAGGAAACATGGATTCAAACTTTGGGAAATAACAGTGTTTTCTATGGCCAAAGTGTATTGCTACCAAAAGCAAAATAAAAATGCTGGAAATTATCAGGAAAGATTTAGGAACAAAGCAAGAAAGCTGACTTATAATACAAATATAAGATTAGTAGCCAAAGGCTTATGACATTACGGGAAAAATGAGATGAAGGCTAGGGAAAAGAGTGACAGAATTATTTCTCTCCCAAACACTGTACATGCAAGAGGACAATCACATTCTTTCCTATGATAAACTAGGCCACTGATGACCTTTCAGTCTTAAACTGTAAGATATGAAAACACGACTCTGTTCACAGATAGAAGTTCTTATATGAGCCTATTCAGTTTTTGGAATGTATTGCACAGAGATATAAGGATGCTGCTGAGCAGATAAAATGCTAGTCTTCCCTGAAGACTGGGAACTTAATGGCTTATTGCTACCTGGGTTTCCAGCAAGGCACTTAAATCTGAGAAGTTCTCCTCACTTATGAAATAGAGAAAAATACTAGTTACCTCATGAATTAGTGGAGGATTATGAAAGTAGAATTCTTGGAGAAACTTTAGTCATTAGTACCAATGAATAATCTCAGTTATTACCACACACAAAATGTTCTTTCCTTGGATAGTGGTCTTTGGTATTTATTTTTGCTTTTAATTCTGTATCAGTCAACACAATGAAATTGTATGTATTTGTAGGGGGTGGTTGTGCATGTGTGTGAATTAGTAAGTGCTAAAAATTTTCTTGACACAGGCCTCCTCCCCCAGAAAGTTGGATCTAGTTTCACTGGAGTGTGAAATGTAAGGTGCTTCTAGATTTGTTTGCCTTTTCTGAGAAATTTGTAATTCTGCCAGTGATGAACCCACATGTTAGCTTGACATCCCATTTAATGGATGGCTGTACCTCAAATCTTCAAGATGCCAAGAGAGAAAATGATCTGCAGAGAGAAATGATTTACATAGTATATAAATATTCCATTTTGAAATATTGCAAAAAGTTTTCTTACTTGTCAAGTATCAGGACACAATGATTGTATTTTAGCCTTCTGGAATAAATGCTGGTGGAAAGGTACCAACCATCATCATACATTCTAGGATGCAGTCTAGTGATTACCGTAGTTTCACAAAGGCAAGGAACTTAGCTGCTCATTAAAGCACACACTTAAAAGGCATTTCTGTTTAGCTAGGCAAGAATTAATGCTCTTTATATGCATTAGTTCCTTCATTTTCATAGGATGTTGAAGACCCCAGTAGATTCCTGAAAGTGCCCATAGTACCAAACTTTACGTGTGTTTTTAGAAACAGATATTTTTCTATAATAAAGTGTAATTTAAAAAATTATTCACATAGTTATTGAGCTCTTGTGATCCTCTCCTAAGAAAATCCTTCTTTGATGCATGTGATAATATAAAGTGATGCTTATTGAAATGAACCTCGAAAATGGAAACAAGACTTTTTTATTATTATCATGCTATTTGCATGTTTTTTCTTTCCTTTTTTCTTTGTCTCATTTCCTTTTGTCACTTTATTTAATTTCTGCACCTTATATCTTGAATATAAATCTATCTGATTAGCAAGGGGAAGGGGAAGCACAGCAGTGAAATTCACTAGACACTATGTTATAAATGAACCATACAACTTGGGGGGGTGATATGGGAAGAGATCGAGGGAGTGGGTAACACGATTCAAAAAGAAATGTACTCATTACCTGACTTACGTAACTGTAACCCCTCTGTACATCACCTTTAAGTAAATTTTAAAAAATCACACACAGTAAATATTCACAATTAACCAAAACACAATTGAAGACAGGCACTGATGGTTCATGCACATAATCTTAGCTATTCAAGAGGCTGAGATCTGAGGCCCATGCAGACAAATCTGAGAGACAACTACCTCCTTGACCAGCAAAAAGTCAGGAGAAAAGTTATGGTTTAAATGGTGGAATCCCAGTCTTTAGTGAAAAAGCCAGATGAGAGCACAATGCCGTGCATTAGGAGCCCAGTACTATCCCAACACAAAGAATTTGGACAAAATACTGTCTTGGAAAGCCAAATTCTCTTTTTCAATACTAGTTTACAGTTACCTGTTTGAGGATACTATTTGTAGATACCTGTTTGCCTGTATTTTTTCCCACTGCTGATTTTGGAGACAATGAATGTTCTATAATGACTTATGGCTTCACTGAATTGAGCTAATGCTATTTAGGGGTAGGAACAGAGAAGAATGGATATGATCAATTGTATGAGTTGTTTCTTAAGACAATGGTGCTATCCATTTCAAAATCTTAATGATAGGAAGCAATAAAGATTTCTTTAGTTTATACATCTGTGAAATGCTGTCACCTGAACATACGTGGCGGACTACAGGACGGTTTTGCACTGATGCTGCTCTCAGATGCATACTTACAGGCCTGGGGATTGTGCTGACCATTGGGTCACTGGGGAATGGCCTTGGATCGGATATTAGGAATGACTCTTGTCCATCTGCTTCTTATCCTCCAGCAGTGGAGCCTGGGAATGCCTACATAGCTACAGGGAGGAAGAAGCCTGGTATTTAAAGATAGTTCAAACATTTGCTAGCATTCCTTTGGCCCAGGCAATCACATACAAATCAGAACAAAGATAAGAGTAAGGGAACTGTACAACATTTCCTGGCATATAGTGAGGACACAGGCAAAGCTAAAAACCTTGATCCACTACTACAGTTAATTGATAGCTGGACATTTTTTTTTTCTTAACTCAGGGTCTGGGTGCTGCCTTTGTACTTTTTCTGCTCAAAATTTTACCCTCAAGTGCTCTACCACTTGAGCCACAGCTCAATTTCCAGCTTTTTGGTGGTTAACTGGAGATAAGAATCTCATAGACAATGCTTGATAAGAAATGTACTCATTATCTTGCCCATGCAATTGTAACCCCTCTGTATAGTATTTTCACAATAAAAAAAAGAGTCTCATAGACTTTCCTGCCTGGGATGGCTTTGAAGTGATCCTCAGATCTCAGACTTGGATAGCAAGGATTATAGGTATAAACCACTGACACGTGGCTTGGGCACATTTTCCCAATTGATGAGCAGAGGTGACTAGTTTTGTTTTTTAGGTTGTAAACTTAACAAAATAATGTTGTTTTTCTTCCAACAAACGAACAAACTAACCTTTTCTGTGGTTGTTGTAATGTATATCCCAAGTTTGATAAACCAGTATGACTTTCTTTTCCAGCCAGGTATGTGTCACCAATTATCAAAGTATAATATTGCCTTATTGGAGTTTTTTTGTTGTCATTTTTGTTGTCATTTTTTTTGGGAGAACTGTTTCAACATATTTTAGTCTGGCTACTTATTCCCAGGAAGTAAATTTATTAATGACATGGAGTCTTCCATGGTGGTTCATAACTCATGAGTTCTAGTCATCTCCTTTCACTACCAGAACCTAAGATTTGTATTGTTGCCCTTCTACCAGGGAGCAAAAATTAGTAGAAAAAAAATCAATTGATTCATGGCCGGCACTGAGCAAAATAGAGACTTACCCACTCCAAATTGCCATCTTGCAGAGCTCAGGGGTCTGAGGGACTTGCTTTCCAGAACACAGTAGCATCTCCTTCCTCACAATGGAAGTAGACCTAGATCTCAGCCCCCTGGGCAGCATCTGCATCGTGTCTTGAGAAAAACGCATTATATATTTCTTTATGCAAATCATTCCTGGGAGCTGAGGAAAGGCAAGCCATTATACAGGCTTCTCATTAGAAGTTAGAACACCACCAGGAGAGAACTAAGTTGTTTAAAGATTAGAGAAAATCCTAGGGAGGGGAGCTGAAAGACCGACTTCCCCAGGGAGCTGCTCCATTACATTGGCTATATTTTCTCATATATGTTCGCTTAATATTCTAGTAATTGTTCTCTCTGGGATTCTGAGTAGGCTTTACTGGAAAATTGGGGTGGAAAGGGTTGGGTGGAAGGTCAGTTTCTAGCCTTTTTGAAACTGCAAAGGATTAATGAGGAAATAAAGCTAATTTGGTGGCAATTTAGCCAAATCTCTCCCTTTTTAGAAACAAACTGCCAAGTATCCCTTTCCAAACTTGAATCTTCCAGTTTCTGTAATACAGGAACAGTTGCTTTGAAGGAGAAATAATCAAACACAAGTAAGTACTGATTATGAGCCTGTTTCTAACTTCATTGCTAGAACACATGCTTGCTTGCCTCTTCTAAGAAAAGTTCATATTCTGCTTCAACAATATTTATTATACTCTTTTATGGTCTGCCAGTACTTTTTTGAAGCCCAGCTAGAACAGCAGCCAACTAAGTTGAGATTAAAAAGGGGCCAAATAACTCTTCAGAACTGAGATGTTACTTCAAAAGATACTCCTTACAAAGAATTACTGTGTGTCAAATAATCTAAGGGGGATTTGCTGATGTGGAATTGGTTTTTATCTTCCCAGCCCCGAGTGAGCCTTTGCTGTGCAAATTCGCTGATGGAGGACAAAAGAAAAGACAGAATCAAAGCAAATACACCCAGAATGGAAGGCCATGGCCCAGAGAAGGAGAGGTGAGTTCAGACTGAGAAATTTTGCTCAAAATTTTGGCAGCAGACTTTTCTCAAAGGCTTGCCAGAGCAGACATTTGGAGCCTGAATAAACTTATGTCTTCTAGAAAACAAAATGAAATAAGAATAAGAATCAAATAAGCAAGCCAGGATGAAATTACGTAAGAAGGAATATAAGACTTAACAATTCAACCTCAGTTTTCTGTTTTTAATCAAACTTGCACCCAAAAGGAACTCACAGAAAGGTTAATCCACCAAAAATGGATCTGTCATTATGCAATAATGGGCATAAAATAAGGCATCATACATATAAAGAAAATATAGTATTGAAAGAAAATCAGTATTGAAAGTTGAATGTTACTTGCACTATATGCATTTATGAATGATAAAAACAACGTTCTGAATTTCACAGTGAGTTAAAGGAGAAGCATTTAAGTTTCCTAACACAAACTGACAGAAGGGAATGCTTATGAATCCAGTAATGCTTACAAATGGATTCTTTTTGGTTACTTCTTTTTTGTTAAACAAAGAATGGTGTCTGGACATCCACGAGTTTGTACATCCTTTGTGAAGTAGGATGGAAGTGTGAATGACATGAGTAAGTGCCATTTTGTATCAAAGCCATAATTTCAACAAGCAAGCTTTATTTAGTATTTCTAGTCAAAGAACCCACTTCACCCAATTATCGTGTAAGAAGTGCTGTTCCTGAGGCAGCATTTTATACTTTCACATTGACAACAGTTGTAAAAAGGCAAGAAGGATGGCATTTTTCTTGGCCAGTTCTTTAGCCCTTTTCCATTTTCTGATTGTCATCTGCTTTGAGTGTTTCCACATGGGTCTCAAAACTCCTCTTAAAGTGCATAGTTACATTCAAGTACTGTATAATCCATAACTCATTACTTCATGGTGTGAAAAGCAGGAATCTCAAAGACCATCAGAAGCTAATAGGAAAAAAATGAGTTTTCACATTCTCCACAGTTTGCTTTGAAAAGAGGCTGGGGGAGGGGAAATGGTGCATGTATCTTCAAGCATGGAGTTTTATGCACCAGCAGCCATCCTCACTGCCTCACTCACCAAATCTGTCATACAAAACATCCCTAATGGAGAAAGACTCGTTTGACTTCCACGTTTGTTTGGATAAGATGCCTGATGACTGGACATATCTTTGAGTCATAGACCAGCACCTCAAATCCCAAGACTCCAGTAAGGCCATTAGCTTTAATGAGGAACACTTCGGTTCCAGTCTCCTCAGGGTCTTGTGGTATTCCCTTCACATCTTAGATGGCAGTTGCAGTAAAAACATTTTACCTGAGGCTACATTTATTGGGAACCAAACCAACAAGCATAAAAGAAAGGTAGAGTTAGAGATGCCACTGATTCTGTATACAGAACTAGGGTTTGTGGTGGAGCATATGAACATACCATCTGTACTACTACATGAAAGCATCATGGAGTCAAGCTATAACCTAGACTGCTTTATAATTGAAATGTTTATCTTAGAGATATACTCCTAAATTTTCTATTCGTAGTCTTCTTTTTTTTTTCTTTTTCTTTTTGTCGGTTGTGGGGCTTGAACTCTGGCCTTAGGTGCTGTCCCTGAGCTCTTCAGTTCTAGGTGAGTGCTCTACCACTTGAGCCACAGCGCCACTTCCGGTTTTCTATTGGTTTATTGGACATAAGAGTCTCACCGACTTTCCTGCCTGGGTGGCTTTCAACCACGATCCTCAGATCTCAGCCTCCTGAGTAGCTAGGATTACAGGCGTGAGCCACCCATGCCGGGCTTTTCATAGTCTGTTTAACTGTTTTAAAATTATATCTCTAAGTAGCTGTAAAAAAAGGGTTTTAATTGAACATATCCGTTTATGAGTAGAATGAATTTTGATCAATGTCACCTGTTTAGTCCTTCTCTCCTACCTCTCCCAACTACAACCATCCACTCTAGTAACCTTGTTCCATTTTCTCATATGTACACTGCATATTGTGACTGCATTGTCCCAATATTCTTCTTTTCATTAGACTTTCCTCCCTCCCCTTGACTTTCCCCACTCCTGACAACACATTTCAGTTTCTTAGGCTTCATTTTGTTAAACTGTAAGTCAGTTGTTGAAAGGAATTATACCAGTGGAATCCTCCCCTGCATATACCAGACTTTATTCAGTTTGAGTATACATGCATCTATCTATCTATACTATAAGTAATATATACATATATGTATATAGATTATACATGCATATAGTGTTTATAGTGTATACATATATATACATAATTTCATATACTTGTAATTTTACTATTTAAGACTATAAAATTTCCTTTTACACTATGGGACTATAGTAAATTTATTAATGACCAATGGAAATCTATTCCAAGTGTGCATATTTGGAGATAGTAAAAGATCAGGAAAATAAATAGCATGCAGTAAAAATGTGATTATCAAATATATTGATTTGAGGATCTTTATGTTAATTCATATACTCTATGATCTTATAAGTACACAAACCAAAAATACTAGTCCATATTGCCTATGATTCTATTAATTCTATTTCTATTCCTCCTTGAATTATACTTACTAAAATGTGTTCGCATGTCTTATAAAGTATTATATAATATCCAAATAATCCTTTAACTTCCATATACTTGTCAATTCTAGTTAATTATTGCATTGATTCTAAGAAAACATGCTTTTATTATTGCTTTTCCATGTGTTAATGATTAAGAAATTCATTCATCTTTCATAATCAATGTATCTTGCAAAAACAATCTGCAATATTTTTGTATGCCACCAGGGGTACTTCTTAAGGTAACACTTGGTGTGAGGTATCTGACTACACTGATCTCATGAGTTAAAGTAAAAATCCCAGTGAGGACTATAGGTCTGATTCTTCAGGAAGCAACTTCTCTTTCTCCTTCCTTGATCCAGTCATCAAAACTGAGATGCATACTTCCCTTAAGTCCATTTGTGATGAATGTTTTTGTCTTCAGTACCTGTCATACTACAGCTGGCACCCCAGTATCAAAAATATACCCTCTTGGGTACTTTGTTTGCTTGTCTGTTGTTTTTCATGTCTGAGAAAATTATATGCCTTTCAGTCATTTTTCTCTTAAAATTAAAATAAGAATTGTAAAATAAAAGATACAATTTAACCTATTCTTCAAAATTTGAGAGTTGTAGCCAAGATACTATTTAATTTTTATTTCATTTGAAAGTGATGAAATCAAATAATGCGCAAAAAATATTTCTAATAAATACTTTGGACACAAAACCAGTAGAACTGCAAGTACTTTCGAAGGATACTAACCAAAAATCGAGGGCATAATTAAAATTGGTTTATTATTTAAAGCTGCTTTTTTTGGGTGGTGTTTTTATAGTTCTAGTGAAATTCATTTCTTTATTTTAGAAAATCTAATACAAAACAATCTTTGCACACATAAAATGATGTAAATCCAGTGAGGAAGCTTCTAATCACTTGGTACTTGGTACTTAATTAATTGTGAGTCACAGTATCTGCTCTTTCTTTAGGCAAAGTGTTGTTTAACTTTGACCTTGATGAGCTCTTCCAGGTGATTGGTATGCAACAAATCAAAAGCTCCTGAAGAGGAACTTACAGTTTTGAACTCTTTTTTTCCCCTAACACACTTCTAGTGACTACCAAAAGGTCATCATATTAAACTCTACCTCAATAATAAAAACAGAAAATGATTATAGGAATTTACCTCTATTTGACTTGATCAAAATGTGACTGATGACAATCCAGTCCTTCAGTGAAAATAATTGTAAAGGAAAACCCACAGTTACTATGTATTAAATACTACCTCCCTGATCATGACGCACAAATACTCACTGGAACTTGTATGTATATTTTTATAAACTTTTCTTGACTGTATTGTCATTAATTGGATCAAGTTTAAAAAAAATTAGGAAGTTTCCATTAGTGTGATATGAATTACATAAATTCTGAAATTTATTTTGATGTTACTGGTCTTCGGATTTCCCTAAGAATTTTTAAGTGCAAGTGATTGCTAAAGTATATGAAGATGCCAATCCCTGTGGACATCAGCAAAAATCCCAGCTACTTGGATAGCACAAAGTGAAAGGGCCAAGGTTTGAGTGTAGCACTGACAGATAAAAATTTAGTGAGACCCTATCCCAATAAAGAAGATGAGCACAGTATTCTATAATTGGCATCTCTAATCTCAGTTATGCAAAAGGCATAGATATAGGATCAGAGTCTGAGGCTACTGATTAAAAAAAAAAAAAAGAAAACCCAACACCTATCTAAAAAATAGATAAGAAAAGAAAAAAAACTAGGTCATCAATTTTATCACAGTCAGCTGGGACTCTCCCATACAAAAAAAAAAAAAGAAAGAAAAAATAACATTGGTGATAACAGTTATTTTGGGAATAATACACTTTCCAGAAATGTTTTGCCACAGACAAAAAGAATTAATTGTACTGAGATGTTTAGTGAAAAGCCCATGGTTTTATTTAAAAAATAATTAAATGATATTTGTTTTTATCTTATTGACAGTTCTCTGCTAGAGTCAATTTAAAAGCAATGAACAATAATCAACATTTTCTATTTGGTGTTCTGATACTATTTTTCCTCACTATGGAAATATTTAGAAATGTTTTCTTCGACAGTTTTGATTCAAAAAATAAACTAATGAAGTGAAAGTAATACTGTTAACAATCAACACTCAGACCCCTGGGAATGGTTTAGACATTATGCCGAACTAAAAATGAAAACAAGTTTTTCTTGGGATTCAGTCAACTAATATTAAAGCTTGAAATCTCTTTACAATTCTTAAAGAACATTTCACATGAAGGATGACAATGCAGTATTCCTTAAAGATATTTTATTTTAAATATAAAAAAGTTGTGCCAGGTGCCAGTGGCTCATGCCTGTCATCCTATCTACTCAGGAGGCTGAGATCTGAGGACTATGGTTCAAAGCCAGCCTGGGCAGGAATGTCCGTGAGACTCTTATGTCCAATGAACCACCAGA